GCAAATGGCTGCAATATAACAAAGAGTGAAAAATTGAAGGGGGTCTGAATACTTTCCGTACCCACTGTATGTATTAGCCCACTTTATTTGAATTATTGTTCTACAGTCTGACTGTTGTTACAGATATTTTGGAACATTTCTCAAGCTGGTATTGGCATTATTATGATGCAGGGCTCTACAGTGCGACCATTTCAGTCGCATTTGCGACTGAAAACTACTGCGTGCGACTATGAAAAAATATTCGTATTCTACTTGTTCTTATTCTGTGGTTTTAATAAGAATTTTTAAAAAGCTTATAAAATATCATTTTTAAAACATTTGACATAAAAGATTACATACTTTTAATAAAGTTAGAAAAATGCCATTACAAAGGTAAAAACTAAATTCCACTGTAAATCACTTTAAGGAGTCAAATATCACCTCGTAATGGGAAGGCTAATTTTTGATACAATTTTGGATTATTGATTAGAAGGTGCTCCTAAATTTTTGACGGTGCTCCTACATTTTTTAAGCCCTGTGATGGCTATACGACTGTGCTGTAATTGCATGGGCTCCCTCTCACCTTGGTCGTCTTGACTTTGTTTCCCGTGCTGCAGCTCCAACCTTTTAGATCCGGCAACACCTTACACTCCTCGCCCTCCATACACGGCTGCATCTGACACCACCACTTCTGTGCTACTATAGAAGCTGCATAGACAGAGAGAAAGAAAGAAAGAAAGAAAGAAAGAAAGAAAGAAAGAAGAGAGAATCTCAACACTCCGCTCACTCTGTGGGAACTGCCAAAATGGGAAAGAAACAAGCCCAAATCACCACGCATCCATGATTTTGAAGGATGCAGCAATGAAGATTGAGAGGAGGAGAAAACCTCAGAAGATCTCGCTCACGTCCAGTGTCAAATGAAATGAAACTATGTCTTTGTATCTCTTTCTCCCGAAAACAATGAGGCTAGTCAGGGAGGAGGTCTTTGATTCAAAGCTGACGGTTTGAATCCATCAATCCGATGTGGGCTCGACGCTCACTGTATGTCATACGGGATAAAGTTCTGCCTTCATGTCAAGATGACAAGAGTTGCGGTCTGGGGGATTGGCACAATGTTGAGAGTTAAGGGGAATTGAGAAGCAGAAGGAAGACATTTTCGAGCTTGAGGCCTCAACTTTTAATATGGGGCAAAGAGGAAGGAGCTATAAACCTTTTAAGATCGCAGGATATCAAAAAAAGTTTGTGGATTTAAGTCCACATCTATCAGCTGAATCCAACAATATGATAAAATAAACTTTTAGGCTGAATGAAAAAACATACCTCTACCTACAATTTCCAAAAAGGCACCTATACATAAAATTCACTGCAGCTTCCAGCTAATATGAACACTAGTAACATTAAAACACCAACAACTTTTATTCCTTTTCACACAAATAATGATTACAGAAGCACCGTTTAATAAGTTTATTTAGTATTATATAGATTTAATAGATTATTTCCATGGTTCCTTGCACAATATTATGTTATGACCTCAAAATAGCGCACCATACTGCATGATTTGTAAACTAATACATTTTGAGGTTTGCATGACAGGTTCATATGTATGGCTTTTCTGATGTAGCAAACTTGCTCAGTAGCGCTCCTGGTACCGCTTTGCACGTGCGATGAGCCCTCTGCTACATTCAAAGTGCCACAAACCATGCAAGCAGAAACATAATTTCATTCTGCAGAAATATCACCACAGGCACACTTTTTAATGATCCTGGGTGAAACTTTTACCAGATATACATTTAGGAAAACAGACCAAAAATATTCATGACCTTGTACATAGAGATTTTGTGGCCAATAAAATGCTTTCTAAAATGAGAATGTCCTGTCTTCCAAAAACACATTTGCAATTAGCAAGTTTTCATGTAAATTTTAAGACTACCAGAGATGTTAAAAACAAGAATGAGCCCTTTAATCTTTAATCTTCCATCCCAACTTTGTTTCAATTGCAAATACAGGAAACACGGAAAAGAACACTGTGACGGTCAAAACTATTTTATGATGTTTTTAAAATTTAGACATACATGTGCAGTTAAATATGTATACACTCCCACAAATCTACCAAAATAACAGTTTTACTATGATTAAACGTGGTAACTGGCCACCACTGCTATTCTCATTCTCAAGTAATAACAAGTGTATTTAATATAGCAACTATAATTAAAATGGTTTGATTTTCTAGATTTTCTACAGGTGCTTCTTTGAAAATTTGGATTGTATTTTTGGGGTCCAAACCTCTGAGACCGCTAGTGATTCTTTTTTTCAATACAAATTACATTATCAACAAATAAGTGAAAAGACATGAAAAAATCCCAGATTTCCAATGTTGTGTCAGACTTTCACAACCCACAGTATGCAGACACAATCTACCGCATAAAAACAGTGTAGAGAGGTCAAGTGTCTTTCAGTCTTAAGTGTAGTGGCTTTTGTCCTCATACAGCAGGTAGAATCATGCGCTGTGGTCTCGGTGCTCAGCAGGGGGTGGGAGCACCTGTCAGATGCATTAGAGGGCAGAAAAGAAGATCAAGATCGATTGACCCGTCCAGTGAGGGGGCCGCTGACATGTTATTAGACAAGCAGCCCACGCTGCACTCGAGCGAACAGCAGCATGACGGTGTCACACTCAAACGGACCCGGACTCAGAAGTGACAGCCCAGAGAGATGAGACTGAGATAAAGAGGGGCGGCTAGACTTAAAAAAAAAATGTTTAATTTAAGAGCATTAATCCTTAAAATAATAAAACAGGCAAAAGCAACAAGTTACTTCATGTGTATTTTCTACTGTGTTCTACTGTAAATTATACCATGGTACTACCATGTTTTTTATACATGTCACATTACATTAGCATGGTATTCTTTGATGTTTATTGAAAACATCACCGTACGACCACATTTTTTTCTATTAAATAATACAATTAATTTGTAATATTCAAGAACAAAACAAACATAAAATACATTAATTTTATCCTAATTAATACAGACAGACAGATAAACTGATAGATAGATAGATAGATAGATAGATAGATAGATAGATAGATAGATTTCTCTCTATAGAGAGAAAGCATCATTTATATTACAATATATATAATTTTCTAATTTAATTCAGATGTTTATTACAAATAGTATTTTCAGAAAACCAATAAGTATAAAAGGTGACTGGAGTTCATGGTAAATGATCACAAATTTGCTTAATTAGCAGCCTAGAAATATTTGTTCTTTTACCTTTGTGTGCGTGATTTTTAATGCTAAAAACACATTTTTAACGCTTTAAATGAATGTTATACTGAAAATATAATATAAAAGTCTAATATTTTATCTATCTATCAAGTATAACATAAATAATAAACTACTTTGCTTCATAGAATCAAACAGCAGAAACCACACACACACACACAAACAAATGTCTTACCGTCCACACACGAAGGAGCCGCTCTTGTTGTCCCAGCAACTTGCCCAGGGAAGCAAGAACACTTGACAGTTTGGGAGCGCTCCTCGATTTTGTTCTTGTTACAGCAGCGGTGGGCTGCAATGACCTCACAGGTTCCCGCTTTGACGTGTACTGAAGAAAAACAACAAGGACACAGAGTCTATTAAAATCAGCCAGCTGTTTCAAACTCTCATCGCCGACAAAGGAAACGATGAGGCACTAATGCATATTCTGTTGCTGCCGGTGGCTGCAATGGAAATGAATTTGTTGACGTGGAGGCAGCGTACAATTTAATTAATGCTAATGCAAGCAGTTTGATTTGTCTCAGGTCAGAAATCAGAAGAAAACGTTCCCTGTGATCAACGGGTTGGGTTTTATGATTCACTTTAGTAATTACAAGTAAAACGGTTAATTGATAATCATGGACCTTTATGCATCTAGAAGGGTCTTTCAGGCAAATTATTTATTCTCATTTTGTTTTGTTTATCCTTCACCTATGACTGAGCAACAACGGGGAGCAACGTTACTTAGCATTTAAAAGCGTGTATTCACACATCATTTTGAAGCTCTAAATTGAGGAGTTTAAAAAAAGAAAGAGTATAAAAACATTTCGAAAGTTTTAGTGTACCTTTCAAATCAGCCTTAATTGCATTGGTAAAGATTTTCAATTTAAGACTTGAGTTAAAAATTGATTGAAAAAGGGGCCTCCATTTTCCCATTAGCTGGCCAATCTCAAAATCTCATCAACAACATTAAACACATTTTGCCTCCAATCAATAAAGAGCCTTTAACGTGCGCACAAACGGCTCTGCCGAGCGGCAGGCCGATTGTGGACTTGAGAAAGAAAAACAGAGATTTACCGATGCAAACGCCGGCGGGTGAACGGCTGAACCCCCTTTGTGTGATTATCTCAGCCCCAGCACACTGCAGGGCCAAAGTTAATTTCAAAAGGTTTGAGCGGATGCAAATTGAATATTCAATGGTAGAGTTCGTTCCAACAGCTTATAGAAAATGATTGCTTTGACTCATTCAATGTGCATTACCGCCTTTATTTGTGTACCTTCCAACCGCACAGTGCTTGTAAAAATCTATAAGAGAAACAAACTGGGATGGCTTACTCCACAAGCTGGAGTTTGACATGATATGTGTTTGGCTTCTCTGGTAGAGCAGCAATGTGAAAAATGGTTTGAGCATTAAAAAGTCTAGTTAAACAATCCTAAATAACATTTGCATACATTTACTGGCATGATATATTCATAATATTCTAAAATTTAGCTGTTCATAAATTAGCCATTAAATGATTATATTAAAAATGTGCAGATTGATTAAGATTGATTTAATGCTCTCAGAGTTGACAGAGAAGTAGAAAATAGAGAACCATTTACTGCTCCTGGATGGATGATTTAAGATTACACTTAAAACCAAATATTGACAAAAAAAAACAGGCATAAACCAATACAAACCTGAGGTTGGATTCACAAAACTTTTTTAACAATACATTTCTTCTTAACTAGTGATTTTTTGATGCTCATGCCGATATCGGAGCAGGGTGGCCGATATAAAGTCAATACATATAATATATCACACAATTTAATTTAAAGGTAAGTAAAGGCACATGTATAAAAACTGCTGAAATGAAAATTATATTAATTTTGCATATTTCTTTATTGATATAATAATTAAAAAATTAATACAAAAAAATCTGTAAAAAAACTATTTTAGTATTTTCATAAATTAATAAATCATTAAAAATAAGCATAAAAGGAAAGTAATTTCTTAAAAATAAAAAAACTAAAATTAATAATTCAAACTGTTCTTAAATACCATTGTAAATAATGGGTACAGCAAGAAGAAGAAGAAAAACACTCCAGCAATGCCAATGTCATGGATTCAATCCCTAAGAACACACATACTTATGAACCTCGAGTGAAGTGCAAGTTGCTTTGGTTAGAAGTGTCTGCCAAGTGAATAAATGTAAATGATATTATCTATGCACTCAAGAGCTTCTGTGAAAACTCAAAAGCTTTTAATTTTGGAAGTGAAAATTAAGTTTCTTAAAATCCTAAGTTTGGCACTGATCAAAATCTGTTCCTTGACTCGAGGTCACACTGAAATCGAATCAAATTCATGAAACAAAGAAAGTGTCGTGTTCCTGGAACAGAATGTTTTTGGCACGGCCACAGAGATCAGCACCAACACAGGAGCACCTGATCCCAGATCAGCCCTCGACCTGCTGTGGGAAAGCTTCTGTCAGGGTAGCAGCCAGGTTGGCAGGGCCTGGAGAAACAGTGCAAACTACTGATTAAACCATAACCCTTTCACCAAGGTCATAAACAAGCCAACCAAATCTATAGGCAGTATGTGTGTGTACGTGAGCGATCGGCTCCTGTGAAGATTAAGAGGGCAGTGTTTAGCAAGGTGCCAGAGGACCAACAAAGAGAATTAAACAGTTACTTCTTGGCTCTGTATACTCGACTGATGTGAGACCTTTTCTAAGAAGGCGTTGTGTCTTTCTCTGGACATCTGTGCAAAATTTCCATGGACTTGCAATAGATGCGATCGATATGTTTCACTTAAGGTGTGCAGGCTGGTCGTCTGGCAGAGTCAGGGAACGTCTGCCTCAGCAGAAGGAGGGGGCGCGATCCGGGCGCTAACAGTAATGGGAGCTGGCACGGCTCTTAGGCACTGCTTTAATCACCACAATCACATCCATTGATCCCACATTGACAAGCACCATCATCCCAGTGAAGACTGTGAGGGTATGGATGAACTAGATGGATGATAAACTCATCAAAACTAGTTTGGGGTACACTACATGACAGAAGGCAAAATAAAAGGAGCTTATTCGATATATATAACGCTTTTGTAAAAAATACATATTTTTGTGTGTAAAACATAGGGCCTACTATATATGTGTGTTTGCGTGTCATGCTCACCAAGGCAAAATGCAGTAAAAAAAACTGTAAAAATGTGAAATATTATTACAATGTGTTAACATGTGTTCTCTTTTAACGGCGCGATCCGGGCGCTAACAGTAATGGGAGCTGGCACGGCTCTTAGGCACTGCTTTAATCACCACAATCACATCCATTGATCCCACATTGACAAGCACCATCATCCCAGTGAAGACTGTGAGGGTATGGATGAACTAGATGGATGATAAACTCATCAAAACTAGTTTGGGGTACACTACATGACAGAAGGCAAAATAAAAGGAGCTTATTCGATATATATAACGCTTTTGTAAAAAATACATATTTTTGTGTGTAAAACATAGGGCCTATATATGTGTGTTTGCGTGTCATGCTCGCCAAGGCAAAATGCAGTAAAAAAAAATGTAAAAATGTGAAATATTATTACAATGTGTTAACATGTGTTCTCTTTTACCTCTTTCCCCGCCAGCATTTTTGAAAAAAGTTGTTGTTCGGGAGGTTTTGTACTCGTTCTGAATATGCGTAATAGCGCCCCCGAGTGTATAACAGTGAAAACACAAAAAGCAGTAAAAACTTGTCGTTGGCGGGGAAGCGTTTTCTTGTAAAAGACGAGATAACTCGTCAATGGCGGGGGAAGATAATATATTTTTATTTGTACTCGTTCAGAAGATGCGTAATAGTGCCCCCGAGTGTATAACAGTGAAAACACGAAAAGCCGTAAAAACTCGTCTTTGGCGGGGAAGCGTTTTCTTGTAAAAGACGAGATAACTCGTCAATGGCGGGGAAAGTTAATATATTTTAATTGCAAAATATTTGCAAATATATGCAAATATTTGATTTGCTGCTCAAGAAACATTTCTTATTATTATCAATGTTGAACAGTTCCACTATTAATATTTTTGTGCAAACCATGACACATTTTTTCAGGATTCTTTGATTAATAGAAAGTTAAAAAGAACAGTATTTATTTGAAAAAGAAATTGTCGGTTTACTGTCCCTTTTGATCAATTACATTTTTTTTACTCTTACTGACACCAAAGTTTTGCACGGTATTATTTTAAATCTAATAACCTCCCATTTATGACTTACTTAAAGGGTCATAAAGCACTAAACAACATTTTCTGAGATTTTAGCAGAGGTGTTTGTGTTGCACATGATAGACGACATCCGTTAATTTTAATTGTTGGAGAAAACTGGTTAATTTTGAGCTTTTTTTATCTATTTTCATCTTCTAGATTTAAAATCTACATAGTGTTGACATCGCAGTTTGTGACGTGGCAAAGGACTATAGTACTTCGATTACGCATTGGTGTCTCATAAATTATTCATTAGACTGCGTGTTCTTATCCAATGAGAAGACGCTTCGCTTAATTATTCACGACAGCATTGTTGATTTACTATGACAGAGTCACGCTTCAGACTGTGAGATTGCGTACATTAAGTGAGAGATGCGCTTTCATTAGGGGTGTAACGATTCACTCGTTTTCTCGATGCATCGATTACAAACCCTGACGATGTAATGCATCGATCTTGAAACATGGATTTTTGAATCGTGAATCGTCGAATTCGGACAGTAATAAATTTAAAACGCTAAGAATCGAATGAATCGCGATTTCTATAGCGATTCAGACATTACCTGAGCAGTCGAAGGCTGCGCATTTATTGCATGGACGGAGCAAAAATGTAAGTGTCTAAAGCATACGCACAGTTCCACTGAATGATAAATGTGTTTTAACAATGTCCTTCAACCGAATGTACGAAGGAAACTGTTAAAATAACCACAGCATTAACAACAACCTTGAAATAAGAGCGCAAGGTTTATCTGATAATCAGATGCATGAAAGTAGCGTTTGTTGCTATAGCAAACAGACATCGGGCGCGTTTTCTTTCAGAATCATCATTCGCCGATGGAGAGGAAAAGTTAAATACTATAGCATTTTATTTTATGAAAAAGATTTAAAGAAGTTTTCGCACTGAAAGAGAAGTGATCTCGCGCTTATAGACGTGCTAGGCTATATCTGCAGCTAAACTGTATAAAAAGCAGGATAAACTGAAACGTTAAGACAATAAACACAATAAATAAATACAATTTATGTTTTTAAAGCTCATACATAATACTTTTAAAGCTCTTTAAACTAGCATCTAATAATAGACAAAAGTTTTTTTTTTCCTAACCTATGGTTCTGTAACCATAAAGGC